CTGTGTTGTTCCTTGGTGTGTTGGAAGCATGATACCATCTCAGCCTTCATCTTTACAGGGTGTTCCCTCTCTGTGTGTATCTGTCCCCAACTCTCTCCAGTACATGGGACACCAGTTATATTTGGGCAGCCCCTGCCACTCTGCATACCTCCTCTTGACCAACTAGATCTGCTGTTATTTCCAAGTAGATGACATTCTTTGGTATTGGAGTTAGGATTTCCACATATGAATTTTGGAGTATGCAATTCAACCTATGCATAGGCTGTTCACCCCCCAACTTCTAGCCCTACTTGATTGAGGGCTGTTCCTACAGATGAGGGTGCCATGTACTTCCTGTTTGCTGTCCCTCTTCTGTAACATGCTTTTCTAGATATCTAGAAGAAAACTTCCCTGAGGACTGTGTGTGTCTTAGTCAGCTGAGGCCACTAGAGCAGAATACCATAGGCTGGGGGGCTTATAACCAATAGACACGTTTGTTTCTCACAGTTGTGCAGCCTGGACTCTGAGATCAAGGTGCCAGCATGGGTGGGATCTTGTGAGGGCCCTCTTCCAGGTTGCAGATGGCCCATTTCTCCTTGAATCTTCACATGGTGGAAAGAGGGGCCCTTTCTCTGAGGTCCCTTTTAGAAGAGCCTTAATCCCACTTACGAGGGCATCTATGGTTTGAAGGTGCCCCCTTCAAAATTCAAATGTGGCCAATGTGATAGTACAAGAGGCAGGCCTTTCAGAGGTGATAAAGCCACGAGGGCTGCTGCCTTGGGAAAGGGATTAAAGCCCTTATAAGACCTCACACAGTATTCAACCAGCCTGCCCTTCCATCTGCCAGGAGAGGACAGCAGCAAGGAAGGCCTCCCCAGTCTCCAGGTGCTGGCACCTTGCTCTTGGCCTTCCTAGACACTGGAACTACAAGGACACACACTTCTGCTCTTTAACAGTTACCCAGTGTGTGTAATCTGTTGCAGCAGCACAAACAGGACTTATCTCCCATGGGCCCCACCCCCTGATGCCATCACATGGAGGTTAGTACTGCAGCACGTGCATTTGGGGGACACAAACACTTAGTTGCAGAGCGTCTCATTCACGGCTATAGCCACAACAGCTAAATCAGTACCTGGTACATTGTAAGGGCTCCGTGTTTGTAAATGAATAAATGAGCAAAGGAATGAGTGGGTGGCTTCCTCCTTCACTCCAGCAAGGAAAGGCTCTCCTCAGTGAAGCCCGGCAGGGTGTTTTGCAAAATTCCTGTGCGGCTCCCTTCCAAAGCGCTAAGCCCCCTCAGGCACCAACTCATAATCCTTTGGTTTCCTTTATACAAGAGATCTGAGTGTCCCATTAAGTGTTTAAATCAGATTAACAGCACAGGTGCCAGCCCCTCCTGTTCAGTTGATGAGGCTCCCTTGGGTGGCCCAGAGCTGCAGCTTCACAGGGGAGCAGTGCAGGGCATCGGTATGGGAAGGAAGGGCTCTATTTGACCAGACTGGTGAGTTCCCCTCTCAGCTGCATTCAGCTGGCCCCAGGGGTACACTTCCTTGGGGATGTGGAGCGTGGCCTGTGCCCTCCTAAGAGGCAAGGTATCTCATGTCTCATCAGCACTGCTTCTGGGAGCGCTGCCTTACAGAGGTCTCTCCAATGTCAGCAGAGTGGGGATTTGTGGACAGCAGGAGAGGCCCGGAGGAGCTACTGGAGCAGGAGGACACTCGGCCTCATGCAGGGTGTAAACTGTGTTTCTTTGTCAACACTGGCTGTCACAGCTCAGAGCTGACTCTAAATCTGGCACAATCACAAAGAGCAAACTCCATACCTCCTCCTTTCTCATCACACAAAAATAGCCGAAACAAAGCTTCCCCCTTCTTGTCACAATTATGCTCCTGTCCTGCCCTCCTATGACACTTTATGAAATATTATTTATATAAAAAACAATTAAAGCTTGCTTACATAGAAAAAAAGGAAAAGACGACCAGTCTTTTAAGTCAAATCTTGAAAATCAAACCTTTACCAAAGGGGAATAAAAATGCTTATTAAATGCTTGTGTTTAGTCATTGTATTTGTCTTTGAGCTTCCTCACAGCACTACCAAAAAGGGAACTATGACCAGTTATGTGCTTGTGATATAAGGAAAAAAAGACAAGGTCTTTACATCTTTTGGAGCTACTTCCAAGAGGTATTTTATATATACAAGATGCTTAACAGGATATATTTTCTTTTCAGGCAATATCTTGGAAAACAAGTTTTCTGCAAATGCAGAAGTATTTTTGAGACAGATCTTCCTTACTTTGGCAATTCACAAAGGTTGAGGAAAAACACGAACACCTAATTAGGCAAAGATACTCTGCAAAGACTGAGCCTCTGTCTCTCTCTCTCTCTCTCCCTCTCTCTTCCTCTCTCTCTAGCAATTGTTGTTGTTGGTCGAGGCTAAGGAAATCCCTCTTCTAATCAGTAGCACATGAGTGGAGCAACAGACTTTCCCATTTACTGGCCCACCAAAACCTTTATCCTAGGTCACTGTTAACAGAGGCCAGAGGTACAAAAGAGTAGCAACTTTTACAAGCAGCTAGACCTTTCATATCTTGCTTCAAAGTTGGCTCTTCTGTGTACAACTTCATTTCCTGTGCATCACTCTTATTCTAACCCCAGTACCACACCAGAGTCATAGACACTGTTGTGTATAACAACCCATCCCAGAAGTCGGTGGCTTGGAATGACAACCGTTCATTGCCACAGAATCCTGTAGCAAGGGCTGAGATCTCTCAGCAGCTCATCCACTAGTCTCTGTCCTACGTGGTGTTATGGTATCAGCTGGGCTCTCCCAGGTATCCGCTGATGGCCTAAATCACTGGCAACTCCTGTGCCTCACACCTTCAAGGAGGCTGGCTCAGGCATCCCTACTTGGGACAGCCAGAGAGTGAAGACAAAAGCTGCCAAGCATCCCAAGGCCTGGACCTTGCACAGCAGCCTCCTGTCTCATCCTGTGTGACACTGGTCCATCCAGCCAGAGTCAGTATGCAAGGTGGCTACCCAAGGATGGGGATTCAGGGAGACCACTTGCTCTCACTGATACTTTAGAAATAGGGACCCGCCCCCATGGGCAGTCATCTCACAAGCAGGGTGAGGAGGGAGAGAAGGAGGCAGGTGGGCCTTCCCGGGGTGGAGAGGGAAGGGCTCTTTGTCAGGGCATTTGACACTAATGTAGTCCTCCCTCCAAGCTCTGTGCACTTGCCACCACCAAGAACACAGCTACCAGGCTTTACACACTCCTTTTAAAATTTCCAGGTGAATATAAGAGGATGAATCTTTGAAGTGATGAAGGAGTCAGCACCTTAAGAGCCTCCTGGTGTCCACGCTTGAAGTTTTGGGCACACAGCGTGTTGAGTTATGCAGCTCTCCAGCCTGGAGCTGTGAGACAGTGACCACTGGAGATCACGAGGTCATTTGCATACAGGCTGATGTGAGACACACAGCATGCTAGCTGCAGCCCGGAAGTCAGCTGAGTTTTTTCCAGGCTGAAATGAGAACACCTGGCCCTTACATAGGACAAGAGTCACATTGTTTGAAAGGACAGCCTGAATGACAACAAAGGCCATGCCCTCATTGCCCATTGCTTTGCAGAAGCTGGAAATCTGAAAGTTAGATAACTAAGACAATGACTAACAGAACCAGAGGACAAGAACGGTTTGACATCCAGAGAAATGGTGTGAATTTTCACAAAGATTGAGCTAGATAAGAATAAATGTAACATCCTACATTTTGGTTCACAGAGTTCATTTGTACATGCACACACACATACCCACATACATGTGCATCCATGAACACCTGGAAGGAAGAAGGCCTGACTTAGTAGCACCATGTAAAAAAAAGCATATATGTTTCCAGCAAGCTTAATTTGAGTCAAAAGAAGGCAGAGTTGATAGGACCTTAGACTATATTAGTAAGAGCATAGATTCTAGATTAAGGAAGTTTCTGGTATTCTGTATGGCACAGTTTATATCAAGTGTACTAAGTCAGCTCCTGGGTATATAATTTAAAACATTCAAGAAAAACTAACATATTTAGAGGGAAGGTCATGTTGATAAAAGAACTTGAAATCATGAGATATAAGGAAATATAACTAAAGATGCTTGACCTAGAGCCATCCTTAACAAGGGCTTAAGAAGGTCCTCAGCTCTAAAGGGTGATGATATAGAAGACAGATTTGATCTGTTGTGTGGCCTTAACATAAGTCTACTTACACTAGTGAATGGAAGCCAGGAGTCCTGGCATTTGAAGATCAGAAGAAATAAGAACATCTAGTCATTGAAGTGCCCCAATTAATGGACTTGAGCGAGGCAGGGTGGCATATGCCTGTAATCCCAACATTTTGAGAGACTGAGGCAGTAGGGTTGTAAGTTCAAGATCAACCTGCGCAACTTAGTGACTTAGTGAGATCCTGTCTCATGTAGTTCAGTGCAAAGCCCCAGGTTCAATACCTAGTAAGAAGACACACACACACACACACACACACACACACACACACACACACACAGAGTACTTCGTCTCACTCTTTATGGTCTCCTGGGGTAGATGATTAGGTTATTGGTTCAAAACCATCTTTAAAATTCTGCCCAACCCATGATGAGGTATCCTAAGACCTTGTCGGAGCTGCCATGATGAACAGGGCCACTGTGCTGTCACATGCTGCTGAGGACTCAGTGCTGCTGCTGAGGGCCATGACAACTGAGATGCTAAGGCACTGTGTGCTGAGCCAGATTCAGTGACAGCAGGCAGCAGCCGAGTGGCACCTGCTCTTGCCATCCACCTGATAGAAAGATGAAGATCATTTTCCTCTTTGTTTTTAACTTTGAAACTTTGCTGTTCTGGCTACCTGGAGACCCAATAAGACCTGGGGAATGGGGTGGGCCCTCTAGCCTCTTCTGGGGAGTCAGCTCACACAAAAAGGTGAGTGTTTTCATTTCCCCTCCGCGCCCTGCCCCTCACTATGCTGAGACTGCATCTTCTCCCTGACAGAGGAGCTGAAGGAGAAGCTGACGGAGTACGTGGACAAGGTGAACAGCCAGAAGCCAGGCTTCATCAAGGTCGTGCGCCACAACAAGCAGGAAGGCCTCATCCGCTCCAGGGTCAGCGGCTGGCGGGCAGCCACTGCCCCTGTGGTGGCGCTCTTTGATGCCCATGTGGAGTTCAATGTGGGCTGGTAAGTGTCAGGGGAGAGGGGCACATTGATGTCCATGGGGGCATAAAGCATGTTAGACAATTCGGGGGACAGGTGAGATGTGAGAATGAGGGACCCAAACAACGGGGCTGGAGGGTTGGAGGTCCACGGGTCCACACATGGCATCTAAGGGTATGGTGCTATAAGGCGTGTGGTCCTCCAGGAGGTGTGACCAGGAAGCGGTATACATGCTAAGGCCAAAGCAGAGAGATTCTGCAGGCTAAGGACAGAGTTCCAACACCCCGAATGGCAGCACTGGGGCAGATGTGAGACAGCTGTCTCACCTTGTGCAGTGGGGACTTCATCTTGTGTGGGCTTCTGCAAATTCCAGGCCAGAGGTAGCACATGATCTCACATTCTCAGATTCTCCCTACTAGTGAAGTATCTCAGCAAATCTTTTCTTCTCTGGTCAGGGCTGCTAGGGCTGGGTGGGGCAAGGGAACTGACAGAGGCCTGGGTCTGCCACCAAGAAGGAATAAGGCTCGTGATGCTGATTTCTCTGCAGGCCAGGGGATATAGTGCAGCCCCCTGTGTGTGGCTTTGCTTGGTCATGGGAGAAACAGGTGCCAGGGATGACTGTGCAGCTGGGAAAAGTAGCTTCCCGCCCTTTTTTCCCGTTTGCCTCATGGCCTTGGGCTCCACTCCCTCCTGGCTCCACAGTGCCGGCCTCTGCCTCTGGGGAGCTGGGCGAGGCGGTTACTTTGGCAGGAAGAGTTGCAGGGCAGTGGGGCACGCACATAGCCAGAGCTGGATTCCAGCATAACAGGCCCAAATCAAGGCAGCATTGCAGCCATTTTTTAATAGCTGAAGTCCCTGCTTGCCATTTGTGACTCTTTAAAAGGCATTTTCACTGGATTTATGACCAGAGTAGGAGAGGGACACTTATTATTTCAAGCTAATTTGAATAAACAATTATGCAGCAAATGTATTATTAATGAGAAGCTTCTCATTCCTGTCTGCAAACACATTGTTTGTGTGGTGCCCAAAGGGGCCTCCTGGCTCCCTGGGGAGGCCTGGATGTACCACCTCTCCTTAGATATTTGGGGATGGCACTCTGCCACCATGCTCTGTCTCTCTTCCAGGTTTTTACACTGAATTTTAGCAAAATCAAAGCCCAGATTGAAAACTTCCCCTGGACCCTCAAATCTCTTCCCTCATTTCTATTCTTCATTTTTATGTCTTGGTTTTTGTTGTGTATGGAGACAGGGAGAGCAACAGATGGACAAGGGTCTCTTAGGCCAGCTCTGGACATGCTGAAGGAGTGGCCAGGGTACCTGCCAACCCGGAAGTCCTCAGTGCGTGGGAGGCAGTGTGGCTTCCATTAGTGATGACCCAGTGGTCCTTTCTCCCTCTGCTAGAAATGAACCTTCAGGAGATGCTAATCTGGCTGTTGTCCACCTTGGAAGCAGTCACCCCCTCTCTCCTTCCCTCCTGCACAGGGCTGAACCAGTACTCACCCGAATAAAGGAGAATCGGAAGCGGATCATCTCACCATCCTTTGATAACATTAAATATGACAACTTTGAGATAGAAGAGTACCCACTGGCTGCCCAGGGCTTTGACTGGGAGCTGTGGTGCCGCTACTTAAATCCTCCCAAGGCCTGGTGGAAGCTGGAGAACTCCACTGCCCCAATCAGGTACAGCATTCTTGCCTGTGGATCTCTTTGTCTTGTCCTCCAAACCAGGGCTCCCCTCCCTACTCAGAACTTATTCTCCAAACTCCAGGGATGTCAGGGTGGAGGAAAGGTATAAAGGAGTTCAGTGTGATCTTCAGTCACTGTAACAGCCTCCCAACATGTACTTTAAAGGAGCCAACATGGCACACAGAATCCACTTACAGCCTCAAAATTACTCATTTGGACATATCACCAGGGATACCTGCAAGGTGTTAGCTGTGCGATTTGGTTCCCAGCCCCCAAAGTCTGGAGGCTAGTGAAGACAGACAAAATAATCAGAATGGAAAATTATTTTACCATGCAGGTGGAGTGGATGGCAAGTAGAGAAATGGGAAATGCTTCACAAATTTGTAAAACATTTGTGTTTGTTTGTAGTAAGAGATGGTTAGGTGGGGAATGGACACCCATATGTGAAGTTCACAGTCATAGAGCAGGTTCAAAGGGACTGGAAGGAGAAATGTAAGCATGAAGCACCAAGTAATGAGGTGGACAGGTGGAGAGGCCAGACCAGACCCACGGGACTTGTGTTCCTTGATGCTGTTTGAGTTTTATCCTGTAGGTCTCAAACAAAAGTGGCATCAAACTGCATTTCAAAGATCTCAAGTCCTCCTGCCTTTGCTGCTATCTTCCTAGACCCCTTGGTTATTCCCCTATGCAGCATCTACTTTTATAGGTCAGGACTCCTGCATACCAGTCCCCACCAGCCTTGTTTCTATCTGTGTTGATGACAGATGGGTTCCTGTAGGGGGCAGTTCCTGGAATGAAAGAGGAGATTAGAAGATGATGTTGCTTTGTATTGCATGAGAAAAAAAGATTATGAAAAACACAACTGAAAGTAGGTGATGAATACCTAAGATCACATTTTTCCTCGCCAGAAGTAAAAGAAGATACTCATGTTTAAACTAGAATGGATGAGAACCTGCTTACCTTTCCTGTGGTTACCTCTGTAACCTTCTTAGTCTGTTAGTTTGCTGTAACAAAATACCTGGGGCTATATAATTTATTTTAAAAGAAAAGATGTTTATTTAGCTCACAGTGTTACAAGGTGAAAGTCCAAGGTTGGGTGACCTTCCTGGTCAGCCTCTGAGAAGGACCTTCTGAATGCATTATAACAAGGTGGATGGCATCTCATGCCAGGAGCAGGAAAGGAAACAGTTGCATCCAAAAAGGGTCAAGTATGTGAGGTAGCCTTGCTTTATGACCACCTGCTTTCTCAAGAACTAATCTGATCCTACCAGAACTGCTTCAATCCCTTCCGAGTATGGTGCCCCATGATCTAATCACTTTCCTCTAGGTCTTACCTCTTAAAAATCTACTACCTCTGAATATTGTTATACTGAGGACCAAGCTTTCAGCTCATGAACCTTTGGGTGGCATAACCCAAACCATATACAAACCATATCAGTTACCCAATATGTGAGGTCTATGCCACACTTTTGAGTTATTGAATATTTACTGGGAGCCTCCTATAAACAAGGGCCTTTGACACACATAGCCTCACTGGGTCTTTATTATAACCTAATGACAACTCATTCTGTCATCCCTGTTTTATAAGATGAGGAGAGCAAGACTGAGAAAAGAGCCAGGATCCTCTCAGGTCAGCCAGGCTCTGTGGCTAGTCATCATCCCTCTAGTTGGCAACTTTTGAGCTCAGAACTGGTGTGGCCCATTTCTGCCCCTGGTTGACTAAATACTGTGGGAGGGAAAGATGCCACATGCAGTGGACCTTCTTCCAGAAGACTGTATTGATATTACCTGTTTCTCTTCTGCTCATCTCTAAGTATACCAAGCTGATCTTAATCAGTAAAACTTCACTCAAGGATCTTGCTAGAGGATGTCACCTCAACCTCACATTTCCCATTACTCAATTTTTATCAGAAACTTGATTGAGAGAAATTTCATTTATGAAAAGGTTTTGGAAGAACATTTCTGGTCATGTTCCTGGATGAATAGTCTTGCAGAAACTGTAATTTATACAAATCTATTTTGTGTATCCTGGCTCTGTTATCTTTGGAGCTGTACTATAGCATTTTGCTTACACATGGTGTAAGCTATAGAAAAAGTCCAGAGATACCCTCTACTGTGTTCTAAAGGAATGTCTTTGAGATGATTGTTCACTGGGTCCCCCAGGGATCTCTTTAAGAAGATCCACATGATAAATTTCTTTCAAATCAACTGCTAGTCAAAGAACACCTTGCTAACCCTGTGGAATCAATCAGTAAGATATCTTCACATAAGAACTGTACATTTTATTTCTAAGACTGTGTGTATTCATTTTCACCTTGGCCATCAAGAAACTCAGAGCCCTATTTGTGAGTCCACTTTAAGAACTATGAAAGAGGACCTCAATCTTCACATGCCTTCTAACTGATGCCCAATTTGACGTAATCTTTAGATCTTTCCAGACATAATTTATGTTTTTCAATGTGTTTCACATTTTCTCACAAGATATTGCTGAATCCTTTCAGAACTGATGGAGGGCATAAATCAATAACACTTTTAGGCTGACCAATCCACTTAATACCCTAGCTGGTTGATAAGTACTGGACCTCCAGAGGTGGCCTGTGTTCCAGATTCTGTTCCCTCCCTAGCAGGATGTAGCAGGTGGAGCAAGACCCCTTCCTATATGCTCTAGGAGCACAGTTCCTGAGTGCCTTGTAATGTCCAACACTCATGAGAGTGGAGGTGAAACTGAGACCCCACTCTGATGGACCACCTTGTATTTAGAAAAAAGATCCTCTGGGATTATTTGGTGAGCAAGTACATCTTTTTAAATGGTCTTTTGAGTGACAGTTATGTCCCAGAGGATTACTCAGTTACCTTATGTAACTGAGTCCATGTGAGGTTATAGCTGATCCCATGTTCTGTAGATTCAGCAGTTCAGAAAGGCTGAGGATCTCTTCTCAGAGAATCACAGCCAGAAGTGGGGTTATTTCCATAGTGCTCACCTCAAAGGTCTGAATCCAGTGTCCTCCACCAGAGCAGGCTGCCAACTTGCTTTAGGAGCATAAATTGACCATGCTCTATTCCTGTGGTCTGTGAGGGTGAAGCCATTTAGAATAAAGTATAGTGATTTGGAAGCAAGAGTGGCAGTGACCCCCGGGTGCCAGTGTGCTGAGCAGCTTCCTGCATCAGCATTCTCCAGAGAAACAGCCTGCAAAATAGTTCTTTCTGTACAGTAATGAGTTTCCAGTTTCAAAGACAGATGCATTTGCATGTGATTGACAGTTTCTCATAGCTAAAGATTCTTCATTTCTCCTTTTCTCCCCCTTCCCCTCCAAATCCTCCAGCCATGGGCTGATAAAATGCCAGGCAAGGGCTAGAAAGGATAGCAGTGTGCAGTAGAACAATTCAAAGTCATTTGCTGTCAGCAGAGAAGCAGCCCCATGAGCTCCTGCTGATTTTACTGGGTGTCTGCAGAATCTCAGAGCCCTAAGGGAGGAAAGCTGTTGACTCAAACCTGGGTGTCTACCTAAGCGCCTTGACCTGTGGGACATGTCCCCCTGGTGTCCCACAGATAGCAAAGAGCAGTTTCCCAGCAGGAATGCTGCTTTCTTCTGAGAACAACTTCTTTCCCCCAAACCCATATTGATTCCTCAGCCCCCCCAATCCCCACTACTGCCTGAGTAGTTTTTTAAACAGATCTGTTCACACCACTGTTGGCACACCTGTCACACCTAGTGAATACCCCTCTAGCTACAGATAAATCTACAGATTGTTTTCCATATTATCCAAAGCCCTTTACCACCTGTTCCCAGCTATTCTCTCTAAGCAGTCACAAGTTGGCATGAAGAACCCCAGTTGAGGAGGGTGGGCAAGTTGGCATGGATGCCCGGGCAGAAACAGGTGGGCTGGGCAGCTCAGAGGTCAGGGTCAAGGCAGCGAGAGATAGAGACAATCAGCCTAGATAGCAAGATGACCATTGCCCTGGGCTAGGACACACACAAGCCCTGGGAATGAGGCTGGTCCTGGCAATTAGGAGCTGTCTGCCTGCTGCCCCAATAAACAGCCTTCCTGGACTGGCTGGGAAAGAACAGACCAGGGCCACTCCAAGAAGGAGACCTCCATGGGCTCTGACAGCAGAGTATGGGAGAGCCTGTCCTCCTGGTAGGAAGCTCTTACTCCCCAAGGAGCTCCCAGGAGACAGCCCTGGGCTCACCACTGGCCGCCTCCCCCTTTCCTGCAGGAGCCCCGCCCTCATTGGCTGCTTCATTGTGGACCGCCAGTATTTCCAGGAGATCGGCCTGCTGGACGAAGGCATGGAGGTCTATGGAGGCGAGAATGTCGAGCTCGGGATCAGGGTGAGTAGGGTTTCTCACAGACAGGGCAAACTCAGCTCCCATAAAGATGAATGAGGCTGGGAGTGAAGAAAGGGGACTTAAAGTCAAGGCTCACAGTCTGATTCTGAAGCCCTAATCCCGGTCCACGCATGAGACTGGGGCCAGAGGCAGGGGACTCAAGGTGGAGCCTCGTGAATTTTCAGGAGGAAGAGGACTTCAGGACCTGCTTGCTGGCGGCTGAGGGGAAGGGAGACTTGAGCTGCCAACTCAAGGGAGCAGCTTCTTTGCTAAAACTGATATGAGCCCATCAGGATAGCAAAGGTGTGTGCCAGGCGAGACAATAGGCATCAGGGGGTGGCGGGCAGCAGGGCTCCTCAGAGTCACTTGGATACTCTCTGTCTCTTCCACAGTGGCCCCCAGAACTTTGACAGAGACTGTCAAGAGAGAGCTACAGGGAAATAAACTCTGCGGTATAGATAACAAAATGCAGCCAGGCTCACTCAGTGTGGTATCTGACCCCACCTAGTGCTGGTCAGAGCCCTAGGCCTGTTACTACCTCACACTCTTTCCTGAGGCTGCTACTCATCCTCCCCCAGGCCCATGTGTGACTCTGTGAGAGGCACTGTTTTGTTTCTCATCCTACAGGACCTCTTCCTAGGCTTTGTGCTCCTTACCCCTGCCTGCAAAGAGATAAACCCGAACACACCCCTCCCCTCCCTCAGAGGAACCCTTAGCTGCCCATGGTATGGGCCAGGAATGGGACGATGGATACAACGAAGGATCTTTTCCACACTGGGGAGTGTTGCAGCCCAATGTTTGAATTGTGGCATGGCTCTGAGGTAGTTCCTACCGTCTTCCCCATGGAGATCATTAACAACCTGGCACCCACACACTGTAGGCGGGCCAATCCTTGAAGAGGGCCTTGTCCCTCCTGGTGTCCATGGCTGTGGCAGTAGGAATGGCCTGTCTGAAGCTGAGCTTAGAAAACACTTCCCTGTATTCACTGGAACTTCAAGAAATTGCTTTGGTGGCAGGGCAAATGCATGGGCTCATTGGGGGCTAATGTATTCATGGAGAACAGCCCTGCATAATCACCCTCAATTTTTCAGCTCTCCCTCCGCCGGTCATTGATTCACTGCTGGCATCCGCACCGTCTTGTTTTAGCACTGCTCCTGGATAAATGTTTGCCCCCAAACGCAATATGTTTCTCCAGAAGCTGCTGTCAGGAATTGGCTGAGCGGACAGCACTGCCTCTGGTCACTTGTGTTCCCTGGGTGAAAATGTCCAGGCATGGAGAAAGGAATTAGATTTGTGAACTCTGCTTCCAACATGTGTGTGAGTCAGTCACAGAGTGGTGGTGATTTCTGGCCTTTCCTTCCTTGAATTACAAAGCTATTCTGCAGTGTGGGCCTGGGTGAGGCTCTCAAATATGTGTTAAAATATCTTTGGGTGGCTTCGTGTTCAGGGTTTAAAATATTGTATAAAATCTTGTCTGGTTTTTTCCTTTGCATCTCTTCTCTCCCGCTTGCTGGAGATAAAGTGTCGCTGGAGTTCAAGGAAAGGTGGCTTTTAAAGCAGGGGCCCAGCCTCCTCTTAGCTGGCAGAACTGAGCACACTGAGGGAGGAACTGGTTTGCCTGATGTCAGTTCCCCCTGCAGGGCCACAGAACTGCCTGCTGATCCTCTCCAAACAGGCTCCCTCATTTGGGTAGTTATTAGTTTATTTGTGTTTTTCTTTCATGTTTTATGAGCCAGCATCTCAGTGCCTCAGTTTTCTCATCTATAAAATAATTATCCCTCAGTGTAAAAGTAAAAAGCACTGTTTTTTCACACCTCGCTTTTCCAGAGCCACTTATTCAAGTTCTTCTCTATTTCAGAACAGAGAAACAGGGTTGTTTGCACTCTTATTGAAAGCCCACTCTGTGCTGGGATTGTGCTGTGCATTTTACTTATGCTATTTATCCACAAAACACTGTAACAATGGATATTATTATGATACCTCTCTTCTTTTTCAGTTGGGAAAACTGAAATTAAGAGCTTACATATGTTCTCAAGGTCATGCAACTTGTAAAAGATAAAGGATTCAATCCTAATGTTTATGATTCAATAAACAGATCACTATGATTGCTCTAGGGATAGGAGTCCTTTGAGCACTCCCTAAAAGGTATTACAGCCTCCATCCTTGCATTTCATTCACAATCAGGTCCAGTGAGTCGTGATCTAATGACTTACTCTTATTTTGCACTCAATTTGAATAAAACTTTTCCCCCTGATTTCTAAGTACACAAGGCAATAGGAAAAGGGAAGGAACATCTGTGGCAGAATGAAATAAGTTGGAAATAAGAAGTGACATTGAATAGAAGATAGTAAGATTATATACTTTATGACTATCAAAGTACTAAAATATGTATTAAAAAGTATTTAAGAACTGGCAAGGAAGTAAAAAATTGTTAGAAACTGATTATAGGTCAAATTGAGTCCCTCACCCCACAAAAATATGATGAAATCTTACTATCCTTTAGCTGTGATTATGACCTTATTGGATCTTATTTGGAAATAGGGTTTTTGCAGATGCAATCAGATATAGGAAATTAGAAAACAGATCTAAAGAAATTAGCCAAAATCAGCCCAGAAAGACATCTAAAAAAGGAAAAGAAAAAAAAAAGGTTAAGAGACATGTAAGATTGAGAGAGAGAGGGAGGGAGGGAAGGAGGGGGGGAGAGAGAGAGAGGGAGAGTTTAATATACAGTATCTCAAAATTTCAAATGGAAATGATAAAAAGAGAGAATCAGGTAAAAAAAAACAACAATATTTGAATAATGATGGATTAAAAGTTTCCTAAATAGGGTCAATCTTCAAATTTAGGAAGTCAAACTAGCCAAAGCAAGATGAAATATGAAGGTAGTCACACTTAGATATATTGTATAGTGGAACTGTGGAATACAAAAGATAAAGAGGAAAACTTATACCAGTAAGAAAAAAAAAAGTAGACTTCCTAAAGATCAGGGACGATCAGAATGGCAGCTGACTTTTCAACAGCACCAACAGAATTCAAGAGATCATGAAATAATATCTTCATTATACTGAGAGAATATAATTTTCAATACCCAATAATAATATCCTTCAAAAGCCACAGTAAAAGAAAGTCATCTTCAGACACACAAAAAATCAAAAGAGTTTGCCACTAGCGGACTGTTAAAGTTTAGATTAAGAATGTCTCCCACAGGCCTCATGAACCTATAGGTGGGGCTTTTAGAAGATGATTGAATCATGGAGACGGTATAGCTGACTTGCTACTGGGAGGGATGGTCTGGTAGGAAGAGGCAGGCCACTAACAGCATGACCTGGAGGGGTTATATCTCCCTCCGTGGCTTCTCCCTTCTCACTTTGCTTCCTGGCCTTCATTAAATGAGCAGCTTTTCCTCCACTAGACTTCTCTGCCATCTTGTTTCTGCCTTGAAACCAGCTGACCATACACTGAAAAAAAATCTAAGCCCAAATGAATTTCCTCTCTTTTAGATTGTGTCAGGTATTGTGTTCCAGCAGCGAGAAAGTGACTAAGACACAGGCTGTCATTAAGTAAATTATAAAAGATATACTTCAGGTCTAAGGAAATTTGTAGCTTGGGCAAACTGACCCAGGAAGAAATAAAAATCCCAAATTGTCCTGGATCCATTGAATAAATTGAATTCATAATGTAAAATATTCTTACAAATGAAATAATTAGGACCAGATGGTTTTACCATTAAGTACTGCCAAACTTTGAAGAAACAAAATATTCCAAATGTGTTGAAATTATTAGAACTGAGAATATGGAGATGATAACAAGTGTCCAACAATGTAGCAGCCTGGATCTATTTCTTTTAAAGCTAAACACTCAGCATGTACAGCACAATTTCTGGTGATCTCAAGATCCTTGAGTCATAAAGAAATTTTATTCTGTTCAAGAAGATGAAAAGTCCATAGAAATATCTAAAAATTTCTTTGGAAAATTTTGACTGTAAAATTTTCCTTTTCTGAAATCAGCAATTCATCAGTTGTATAGAACTGATGTGGGTGGGCCGGTGATTTAGCTTAGTGGTTCCACCACCTGCCCTACAGGCGCAAGGACCCCCCGACCCCTGTACCCCCCAAAAAAGAGCTGATGTGGGGAACCCTATTTGGAAGCCTAACCTGCTTTTTATTCCTTGCAGTTAAATTCTTTAATATATTTAATAGTACTCTCCACCCTTTCTGTAATGGAAAAGAGTAAGAAGGGAAAAGGAAGCACACCATAGATGCAGCCAGTGACCTACCAGTAATGTTCAGAGGTCCAGAGCATGCAGCCAGATGAAAGTAACCCCCTGTCCATCTTGCCCCTCCTGTAGAGCATTCCAGACTGGATTAAAAAGTTTGAAATGTGCCATGGAGAAGAGTCTACCATACAGAACTCCTTGTTGGATAGCTACTTGGGCATATCTGCAAGTCACTGACTCCTTAGCTGGATATCTACAGTTTGCTCATTTAGGGTTCCTTGTGGTGTCTTAGAGCCTCTGTCTTGGAATGTTCACTATCATTTGCCTCTTTAGAATACTGTTTGCTATTATGATGACTCTTAAGTAGTTTTCTTGTCCTGCTGGATAACTTCTTACTACGTGTTCCTAAGATTGAATTGTTGAATTTATTCTTTATTCCTCAATGCCAGCTTTACCTCCTTTAATGGCTCTTTCCTAGCTTCATCAGAAGGCCTGACTAGAAGTGGAATCCCTCACTGTGGGACAGTTCCTCTTGTAGTTGAGTAGCATCTAGGACAGGAGAAAGTCTAGCTTACTGGCTCCACTTTTTGGCCTTGAGGACACCGAAGAATTGTTTTAAGGTCTTTCTCATTTGGATAGATTTATTTAACAGCTTAATTATACAAAGACTTGCATTGGAGATATCACAATACCTTGGACAGTGACTACTCTCAACCCATGACATCTTGCTGTTGTCCTGGTCTACTTGAATCTTCTTCCTCAGCCATGAAGAAGCTAGTACCTACAC